AATCTTTTTCTAACTTGCTATTATTGAAAAAGAAACGTGGGGTAGATGATTGCCTGTTTCCCCAAAATAAAACTCAGAGACCATAATTAGCCTTCCTCATGCAAGCAGACTTCTGTATTTCCTTGGCTCCCAGATCCCAGTCTTACCACGTGTAAATTGCATTGCAACGACTGCCTGAAACGGTTGGTCAACTCTGTCCTACACATCTTGTTACCCCAAGATAACAAATGCATTCATGCAAACTTTAGATATCAAATACAATTTTATAGTAGTCCCGTCTGTTTTCTGTGCCCATTTCAATAAAAGAAGTGATTGCATCCTGCCTCTCAGGAAGAGGAAGTGACTGTCTTTCAAGTTTAAACTTGCACAAAGTGCTGTTCACAAGCACATTTTGATTCAAAAGTAATACAGGAATGTTGTGACTTCCTTCACTAATCTTCTGGGTGAACAGTATCTGCTAGTTATGTTTCCTGCTGCCAAATACGTGGGCTTTCGTGAAGAGTGTCTCTAGCATGGGAATTGTCATCATAAGAATCATGTGATAAATCCAAAGCTAGAGGAAACTGGAATTTGAACTATTTGATAGTGGAACTAATTGCCCAGCAATGTGGTGGATTCTCTTTTGCCTTCTCTCATGTCCATCTGCCCATTCAATCAGATTGAATAGAATCACCTTCCTTCAGTTCTTGTCTTTATAGGACTGCTATCTGATGGGGCCTCAGAAACAGGCTTTTCTGATCGCCACCCTCACACTTTGGAATTCCCTCTCCATGGAGATTTGGTCAGCAATGTCCTCTTAGGGTTTAGGAAGGCAATCAAGACATGCCTGTTCCTTCTAGCGCTGAAGAAGGAGATGTTATGACTGAAGGTGGAGGTTGCACATGACTTCTGTATTGTACTGTTATTTTTATGTATATTGGGGGGTTATTTTTGCTTGCAGGTGTTACTTCATATTCAGTGATAGGATTGTCAGCTGCCCAGAGCCTTCAGAAATCAACTGCATACAAATAAACTAAAACAAACAGTGGATTCTTGTGCTGAGCAGAGAATTGGACTCAGTTATCTCAATGCCCCTTCCAACTCTATAATTCTGTATTTCTCTGAAAGAGAAGAATACTCCGAACACCAGTTTATGCTGAACAGAAGCATACTCTGTATTTCTTATTCATTACACAGAGATAAACTTTGTGGATATGAATAGTGAAATATACTGCCAATTTTAATTGCGGAAAAGAACGTCTCAGCTCTCAGCAAACAGGAAGACAATGGGTTATCATCCGTGATAACATGAAAATGATGCTACCCCACCCTGCCCAGCAATACCACTTTTGAACTTATTTATTTCTTCATTAAAAAAAAAAAGGCACAGCAGTCCTTTAACTGCTAGTTCCTGCCTGTTATTTATTTTTTCAGCCTTCCCCCTTGGAAGTTCTTTTGTGCTACCACAGCACAATCAAGATCAAATAATCATAGAGGCTGCTCAGAAAACGAATAGAGGAAATTTCTGCAGAAGTGATTATAACTCCTAAAAACTTTTTTTTTTTAAAAAGGATGCTATTTAAAAAAAAAAAATCAAAATTAATGCTTGATACTGGATTTTAATTTGATTTTTAAATAGATTGTAAATAGATTAACCATGGGCATTTTTTCTTGTCTTGGACTGATCAGGAAATCATACATGAACACGTAGAAATATAGCATTTGCTCAGTTTTGAGAGTGTTGCTTTGTTCATAATATATTTTTCTTCCTTACTTCCCTTTTTCATGGGGGGGAGGGATAAATTTATAACTCTGCTATATATGTAATTTCTCTCTGTTAGCTTAATTAACTAAATAGATATATTTTAAAATAGATGTAGAGTATGAATTCTTGTATGCTGTTAGATACAGTGACTGTATTAAAACACAGACTGAGAAATATTATAATTTCCTGAAAATGGCCACTTCTGAAATATAGAAAAAGTAGCTCAAATGTTCCCATAAAATCCAAGACAGAAATAGTAACCACATTTAATTTGTGTTAGTGGCCCTTAGCAGACGCATTTTATTATCCTCAAAGGAACAAGAGGAAAATTCCATAAACTTCCAATTATTTGCCAAATTTCTAGCTCCAGAGCAGAAGGGTGTGGACAAACAAAGTCTACTCAAATACTTGAGATCAATCTGGTTTGCACTATATTCATATGTAGCAGTGCAGCAAGATGTCATCTTAGCTCCCACTGTTTCACAAACAATAACACGATAACATACTAGTAGGATCAAAGGCACAACTAAGATCTGAGCTTTGGAAAGAAAATGACTAGGAAAAAAATGGGAAAGAGAAAATTCATCAAGAGACAAAGGAAAATTGCAACCCGGGCACCTTACATGCCAAAGCAAGCATGTAAATCATTCAGAATGCAAAGGCCGCTAATGATTCTAATGCTTGTTTATTCCAAGATTTGTTTACTAATTGATCAGCATATTTTTCAGAAGGAGACAATTGCAAGCACACTAAAAACATATGTGAAATGTTGACTGGCATTCTGTCCATGATCTACAGCACTTCACTCTAACAGTAACTGGGGCATCATATAGGTAGTATAGAAGAAACTAGGTTTCAAACATTCTGCCTAATGTTTTTCCAAATAGATCTGGGACACATTTTGTCATACAGTTCTCTGTTCAGAGAAAAGGCCAACTCTTGTACATTTCTAAAATGTTCAGATTTTTAAAAGCTTCCTATTATTGCTCCATTTTGGCTCACACACAGAGAGCATCTCTTCAAGAAAATAATATTCCATCTTAAATTTCTTTCCCATAATCCATACTTTCCTCAAAGAAGAGAAGCCCAGAGTATATGTCTTAGTTCCTTTGCATGAGATAACATTGGAGATTTGTTGTATCATCTGTTTCCAAAGATTATGCATTGCTTGTAAATATTTGAACACGTACCAAGAGAGAAGCAAATTCCTACAACAGACTGAAGATTGGTAACAGGAGATAAAATCCCCAGATAACTTTAATATCAGGGAGTTCAGCTGAAGCTAATTTACAGCTATCTATCCTTTCTGCTTTCTCAGTATAAGCAGAGACTTCTCAAACATCAACAGATTGCTTTCCAAACTACACAGGGATTCCAAGCTGCCAAAAACATTAATTCTCTAGCTATCATCAAAAACAGTATAGGCAAACCTCTAATCATTCCATCATGACCAGCCAACTAATATCAGCATCTATTTGTGCAATGACAATAAATGTTTGTAGGCAGAGTAGATCCCTAGCAGTCCAGTACAGACTGTGACTTTCAGCATAATCAATCATTCCTTTGCTTCTCCAACATGTAAGGCCCACTCAGAACCCACCACACAAGCAGTGGTAAATGGTCCCTGCTTCTTGTAAGGTCTCACTAGGACTTCAGTCATCCACAAATATGCAACTGTCTGCATCTGGGAAGCCTTTGCGTGTATAGCTGTGTATGCAGAGGTGTTTAGCAAACCTGAACCCTAATCTATCAGGGTTTGAATTCAGAAGTGAAGCCTTCATGGGTAGAAGAATTTGACACACTGTAAAAATTCTCCACTGCAGATTGTTACATTGTACTTGTGAAAGAGCTGCTCACCACTCCTTGTGTGAGCATCCTACTCCTGAACATATCACCTAAATGGGACAACATGTTCATCAAAATATCCTTTTGATTTCACTACATTGATTTTCAGGCAAAGAGCTCTTTCAACCAGCATGTCCTTCTATCAATATTACTTGACTGATCTAACATTCAGATAATTGAGTGAACAATTGGAGAAAAGGAATCTTTTTAGACCCTCACAAAATTCCTGCTGTATAAGGCCAAAGTTTCTGGCCATTTCCCTTCCACCGTTCAGAATAGGAAAAAAGATGACTAACTAAGAATCTAGAGCAGTGTTGTCCAAACTTGGCCACTTTAAGATGAGTGGACTTCAACTCCTAGAATTCCCCAGCCAGCATGGCTGGCTGGAGAATTCT